CCCCCTTCCCCTCCCCTCCCCCCTCTCTCTCTCTTTGCTTGTGATGCCTGTGTAGAGGTCAGAAGTCAGTATTAGGGTATTAAGTATCTTCCTTTCTTGTTTTGCATTTTTTATTTAGATCTCACTATGTAGCTTTGGCTAGACTGGAACTCACTATGTACACCAGGCTGGCATGGAACTCACAGCAATTCCCTCACCTGTACCTCCTACAAGTGGGATTAAAGCAGAGTGCCACCATGCCTGACTATATTTCTTATGGTTTGTCTGTGTCTGCTGTCATATATTTGTTACCCACTTAAGGAGGCAGAGACCTTGCTGCGTTTCATTCCCTGAGCAATTAGAATAGTCCTTAGTATACAGAATCCATGCAGTAAAGATTATGTAACTCAATTCATGTGAACAACAGCTCTGTCATTACTGTTCGTGTTTACAAGCAGTGGATATTCACCCTAGGGCCTTAGGTGTGTGAGAGTCCTAACACTGAGCAATATTCCTTACAAGACCAAATTTATTCTGTATTGGCATGTACTAGAAAGACAGAGAAAAAAACATCATGTCTCCTGCTGATACTTATAAACCATAAGAATATTATACAATAGATATGAGTTATTATTTTAAATCATTAGGAGAATATCTAACAATAAGAATTTTAATATGTTGAGGCTCGTGCCTTTTATCCCAGCACTTGAGAAGTGGAGTCAGGAGGATCAGAAATTCTTAGCTACACAGTAGATTTGCGGCCAGTAGTCTGGGGTACATGAGGGACTGTCTTAATACAATTAAAAACAAAAACAAAGCATCATAATCATCACCACCACCACCACCACTATCAACAACAACAGATAGAACTCCTTTGGTTGCAAGAGATAATGCATATAGGTTTTTGTTTTTTTGTTTTTTGTTTGGTTTTTTAAGGGAAAAATGTAGTGACTTACTCACAAAATTGTAACAACTTAGAAATAAATTCTGCTCTAGATATGCTGGGTAGCAGGGATATTTAAATTGTCTTTAGAATTTACTGATTGTTTTTCATCATTGCTTACCTTGGCTTTTCCTTTGAAAGAGCCTTGGGCTCTCCCTCTCTTCCCTTCCTTCCTTCCTTCCTTCCTTCCTTCCTTCCTTCCTTCCTTCCTTCCTTCCTTCCTTCCTTCCTTCTGTCTATCTTTTTTTTGTGGAGCCAGCATCAGATTCTTGCTTATGACAAAAGCCCAGGATTCTGGGCCTGGATAGGTTACCTGCTCTACGGCAAGGGAATGTGGTGTTCTCATTGCTCTGGCAAGGGTTACTGGTTTCAGGAGCCTGAAAAGAGAAAATTACTCACAGACTTAAAGCAACGCCATTTCTGTGAAATGCTAGAGCGAATAGCTGGTGTCAGAAGTACAGTACTCTGACCTCTAGTGGTTACTTTATAAGATGCCCTTCAGCATGCCTCCAAAGACTGGAGGTGGTTTCATGTCATTGTCTATCATTATTTAAAAGTTCCAGTGCCTCCCTCTTACCCTACATCCACTAGAGGCAGCCTTTCTTTTGAATGTTGGTATAGCATTCCTCCTGTTTTCCCTTTGTTCACACTATCACTCTTTCCTGTTGGGTTCATCCAACTCTTGGGGGAAAAATCTTCCTTAAAAATCACTGTTGAATGGTTTTCAGCCAGGGGAGCTTTATTCTGTCAAGTAATTTCTTATACCTGATCGATTTCAGTCCGTATATCTAACATCGATTCTTGTGTGCACCCCTTGTTTTGAAATTAGAGCTGGATTTTGGTCACAGGCTGTGGAAAGTCAATGTAAATCACAGCACATTTGCCTAATGCCTGATTCCTATACCTCACAAATTAAGGGCACCTACATTTGTTCTGTTCGCCTACTAAATAGACTTATCTGTCTTAAGTCTGCCACTACTATGTTCCTGTAATCTCTGCACAAACAATTCATATGCAGTTGTCTAAGAGTGAAATTAAACATGCACATTGTGTCTCTTGAAAAGGTTATTGATTGGTTTAAATTCATTAATATAACTGATAATTGCTAAGGTTATAGACTAAATCTGTTTCTAAATTTTTATAATTTCTGAATTTATTCTTCCTTTGTCCATTGAGGGTAGTAAGAATTCATTGGTTTTATTATTGTTCACATTTTCCCCTTCAGTTTTCACTGTGGAGACAAAAGCAAACAAACAAACAAACAAACAACACCAACACCAACACCAAACCTAGGGGCAGGAGATGCAGCTTAGTGGTACAGTGCTGCAGCCCCTGGGTCCCAATATACAGACTCCTAAACCACTCATCCTTCAACAAAAATATGCATCCCTCTGAAAACATAAAGATTCTATCTCATATTTTTCATATCATTCCTTTTTATTTTGCTTTTTAAATTTAAAGTTATGTGTTAGTGGTAAAAAAGTATAATGGTTTCTTCTTACGTATTCTTATGGAATTATTAAATGAAACCTGACTACCTAGGCTGAATTGTCTCCTCAGAAGCAGAAATATAAGCCTACTGCAGTGGGCCACAACTGTAATCCCAGCAGTAGGAGGTAGATGCAGGCAGGAGTTTGGTTTTGTTATTCAATAGAACAACTATTTTTTTTTGGTTATTCTTCTCTATAGAAGTAAAGGAAATTAGCCAGGTGTGGTGATCCATGTTTTTAATCCTAGAATTTTGGACATAAGGCAGGCCAATCTGTGAGTTCGAGGCCAGTTCATTCAATATAATGAGGGCCGGTGCAGTCAAGGCTTTATAGAGAGATATTGTCTCAAAAGACATAGAGATGATAGATAGATAGATAGATAGATAGATAGATAGATAAAATAGATAGAGGAGGAAGAAACTGGTAAAATATAATGAATGTAGTGAAAATGATTTACTCCGGGGGTAATTATTCTGGTAAGTACTTAAAGTCTCCAGTTGTGAATAAGGAGTAGTAATAATAAATGGCGAGATGTTTATGTTAATCTCTTAACTGTGCAGGACAAGTTATAAAGTTATAACTTAGTAGAAGTTAGTTGATAAGCCATTCTGAGAGCAGAAGGAGGTAGGAATGTATTTTCGCCTTTGTTTCTAGAAGAATGTAGTAACAATTATAGCTAGAAATCAAACGCAAACTTGAAACAATGATGCGTTTTGACCTCTCCCGGCTACCGTTTGGAGCATGCGCAAATAAGCCCGGCGGGACACAAGTGTCATGGCGCGCTCCATCTGAAGTCTGTGCAGTTTCCTGACAGTGTCTTGTGATTTTTCTCTCAGTCTGGACAGGTGAATTTCTGGATTTGTGTATTCTAGGGGCAAATGTACCAATGCTCAGCGACTGTGGGCCGAGCTGCATTTTTGGCGGAGCATCGTTTCCGCATGTTTTCCTCTTTGGGCCGATCGCCCGCTTGTTTTCGCAGTTTGAAAAAGACTTGGCAGCTGGCGTGGGGAATCGGATGCTGGAGCGCTGCCCGGAGAGAGGCCGGTGTGGCCGTAGATACTGCTGGCTGGCCAAGTCAGGGACTTTCAGTCTGGTCTAGCCTCATTTTACCCTCTCACTTTTCTCATGAATGTACTTGTGCTACGTGATCAGGCTTTCAGGAAATGAGTGTTTTGCACTGAAGTTGGGCATAGGGGCAGGTCGCTTGAGTTTTTGCGTCCCCTACCCCCCTTTACTTTGCTCCTCTGCTTAGAAAACTTAACCATATCACAAGGGATCACTTGTTTCCTACTTGGCGATTTTCATTGTGCTCAGGCGTTACAGTGCAGGTAGCAGTTTACAAGCTGGCTAGATGCGTTTCTTTTCTTTTTCTTTCTTTCTTTTTTTTTTTTTAAAGGAAGTTGTAAAGAGGTCTTACATTGGTTTTATGAACTTATAGGATGCTCCATTTTCTAATTAATTTTAATTTTCCAGATTCATCTTTCAAGAGGACTTGAAACCAATTTCAGATAATCAAGGTATCGGTTTATTTTAGTTTTTAAATATTTGAGTAATCAGTTATGCATTAGAATATGAAGAAAGATGTCTCAATTTTTTAAAGTAATCAGCCACCATCATTTTGTGAAAACTAGATTTCTCTATAACTAAATCAGAGAGGCAGTTTTTGTATTTCTTCCTTAGTTTTTCATTTTCATTAAGAAGCAGGGACATTTTTTTCTTTGCCACCTGTGACACATCTATTTTCTTGTTTGGCTGTTGCTTAGTCCCTGTTATATCCTGCTTCTCTACCTGGCTGTTAAATATGGCTTTCTTTCTTTCTTTCTTTCTTTCTTTCTTTCTTTCTTTCTTTCTTTCTTTCTTTCTTTCTGTATTTATTTTTTTATTTTATGTGCACTGGGATTTTGCCTGCATGTATGTCTTTGTGAGACTGTCAGACCCTGGAGTTATAGACAGTTATGAGCTGCCATGTGGTTGCTGGGAATTGAACCCAGGTCTTCTGGAAGAGCAGTCAGTGCTCTTAACTGCTGAGCCATCTCTCCAACCCAAATATGGCATTCTTGAAAGCTTGTTTCTGTACCTCTTCTAGCTGAGTTGTTTTCCATTTTTTTTAAAAAGTTTCTTGAGACATTGTCTTAATATGTATTCCTTGCTAGCCTGGAACTCAGTATGTAGACAAAACTTGAAAGGGCTAGGATTAAATGTGTGCACCACCATTCGAGGCCTGATTATAGTTTTCTTTCTGTGTGATGTGATTCACCGCTGTTAACATGGTTACTTGTGATTCTAGTTTTGCCAGGGAGTGTGAAGTGGTATATCTTTGTGGGTTTGAATGGCCCTTCCCTCATGGCTGATTTTACTGACAGCTCTCTGTGCTTATCAAATACTTATATATCCTCTTTGGAAATATGTCTGTTCAGATCCCTTTCCCATATTTTAATTTGGGTTGCTTGTATTTTTGAGTTCTTTATTTACTCAGATAAGAGGCCCTTACTGTATTATGTGAATTACTGTTTCCTCCCACTGCATGCCTTCTCATGGTCTTTATGTTGTCTCTGAAGCATGAGAATTGTTTTTCTTTTTTCTTTCTTGAGAACAGTTTTCACATAGCCCAGGTTAGCTTCAAATTTGGTTTGTATCTGAGGACAGCCTTTAACTCCTGATCCTCCTGCTTTAAGTTCCCAAGTGCTAGAATTGCAAGCACAAGCCATTGCACCTGGGTGAAACACTTTAATTTTGATGCAGTTTAACCAGTTGTTTCCTTTTGTACACTTGCTGTCCTAAGAAGCCAGTGTCTAATTGAGAAACCTGATACTTGTGATAGCTGTAAGACTCTCCTAGGAGTAGGTCCTTAAGTTTAGGTCTGTAGCCCCTGTGAGTTAACTTTTGAGTATGATGTGAGATGGGGCCCCAGCTGTGTTTCTTTGTGTGTGGCTATCTAGTTGTTTTGGTGACATTTGTTGAGAAGACTGTTCTTTCTCCCATTACATGGTTTCTATACAGGTTACAATCACTTGATTCAGTAATGTCTATTTGATATGTCCTCTAAGTCAGTCTTTATGAAATAACTCCAGAACAGTGGATATCAAAATTATTGGAGGGTCTGTTGAATCTGATACCTGTATCTGTGAGATTTCCAGAGAGGTTTAGCTGATGAAGGAGTTCATGTCCTGAATGTGGGCTATGCTTTAAGACTGAATTAAAAAGTGTGTAAATGGAGGAGGCCAGCTGAGCACAAGCATTCATCCCTCCCTTCTGACTGTTAGTGCAATGTGATGAGCCACCTAATGCCATCAAACCGTCTTTGCCTGGATGGACTGAATCTTTTCAAATTATGAGCCAAAATAACCACCTTTTTTGCTGGTACTTCGTCACAGCAATGGGAAGAGTAACTCAGTAACTCAGACAGATATAGCCAGGCCTGTATTTTGTTAGACCAGACTGTGGTGAAAAAACAATTACTGGGAAGCTACAAGGTTAATTAGAGTTTTATGCACCTTAGATAAACAATGAGCAAAGTACGCAAATTTTTTTTTGCTCTTACTGGGTAATGTTCTAATAGAAGGATAGTAAAGAACATCTGGGCAGGTGATTAAGTGATTCAGTTAAAAAAAGAATAAAAAGCCAATGCAAACAACATCAACAACAAAAGCAAGATTAAGGAAGGGTGATAGGAAGTATGGACATGGTGCAAGGGACCTGTGACTCTTGCAAGTTGTCCTCTGAGCTTGAAACAGGTACTGAGGTGCACAACTGTCTGTAGTACCATTCTGCTGCTCTGACACATATCATACACACAATAAATAAAACATTTAAAAGTGTTGGCTTGGGTCATGAATATCATATGTGTGGGAAAGGTAACAAGCAGAGTCTCAGTTTATTTTGAGAGACACCAACAGAATTTTAATGGTGGATTGAATTTAGGGAAAATGCAAAAAGGAGCCTGCGATAATTTTAGGGTTTTGGGTCTAAGCATATTGGAATGCCTTTAAAGGAAAAAGGGGAAGCTGTGAGGTGATCTGACAAGATAGGGAGAGGACCAGGAGTTCTGTTTCTGACTTGTGAAGTTTGATTTGTCAGTCAAGCAGTAATGTGCAATAGGCAGTTGCACATCTTAGTGAGAGGTTCAGGGGAAGATGGAGCTGGTCACATAAGCACAGGGTTGGGATTTCAAGGCCTTGGAGTGAGGAAATCACCAGGCAGTGACTGTAGAGAAGGAGCCATGGGCTATCCCAGGGTTGAGAAGATATATTGATGAGCAACAAGCCAAAGACATGAGGGATGGCTCATGTGGTAAGAGGCCTAGGAGAGTGGGATCCTGATGCCCATGGGAAATTGCTTCAAAGGGCTGTTTGGTTGTGTCACGTGCTGCAAATTGTGTAGCTGTGTCTCGTAAGGGGACTGAGAATCAATCATGTTATATCATTGTATGCCATTGAAATCAGACAGTTTTAGTTGAGTGATGGTCACAGTCTGAGAATGGAGGTGGGGGAAAAATATGTAAATACAGATGACTCTCAAAGAAGCTTTTTTTTTCAAATGAGAGAACTGTATGGAAATTAAGAAGTGTTTTTTTTTTTCCTAAGAGAGTTATTTTGCTTTTGTCTTCCAAATGGAAGAAGTAACAAGATAGTTGCTTCTAAGTAGTGAATTTTCAGTAAGAGGCAGCTCTTGACAATGCAGGGTGAAGAGAGCATTGTTGGGACTTCATGCTTGAGCCAGCAGTAGTAGACTTACTCCAAGACAGTGGTCAGTTTACATGGTGACAGATTGAAGGCAAGCACAAGGCAGTAAAGAAGGATGTAATCTCTCTGTGAGGAACAGAGGAGGGTTGAGGGCCCCTTTTCAGTCCCACCTCCTTTCTTTAAGAGTTTGGTAAAAAAATAATTTTTAGAAAACTCCCAAGGTCAGTCAGTGAATGTACAGTTTCTTTCCTGTACTTCTTCACAGTCCAAGCCTGTGCACTGTAGATCTGTAAGAGGCAGAATTTCCTAAATTTGTTCAAGCTGTTATTTTTTTTTTTCACTGACAGCTATTACATGTAAATGGAACCTATGTGGGAAAGGCCAAGCTGTACTTTAATGACTGAGTTGGTGAACCCTTGTTTCTAGGAGGTGAATGCCTAACCCAAAAGATGTTAGACTTCAGAGGAAGGTTAGTGGCTCCGATGAGCTGAGTAGGTTGCACCTCAGGTGATCAAATGCAGTCATTATGCCTCTTTGTGTCTGCACTTCCTGGTAGGCTTCATTCTTTAGGTAGGTGGCTTCTTTGGCCTGGTACAAAGTTCACAAAGTTGGCCTGTTATCCCAAATTCATCCACTTGAGTAAAAAGAGAAGCTGTCTTTACTATCAGTTATTGTATAAAGGTCTTTTCTGGCTGGATTGTCTTGTTGTGACTGACTCTGAACCAGTCACTGTCTAGGAAAAGGGAGGATTGACTGACCATGTGATGTGCTCATTACCATAACAGTTTTAAGGATGGGTGCTTAGCCTACTTTTCCTTTTACTGATGATAGATATATAGGTGGCTGAGATTTAAATAGAGGTTTAAATTATGATGCATATGCCATTAAAGTTTTAAAGCAAACATTACAAATTTCAGGCACAAAAATAGGCCTGGTAGGAAGCCACTCTGTTACTTGGATGATGTGAACAGAAGGATGGGAATCCTATAGAAGAACAAAAAGGAAGTTCATCAGACAGGCTTGAAGACAGGTGAATATATGCAGTGTTTGTCAACCCTCCTAATGCTGCAGCCCTTTAATACAGTTTCTCATGTTGTGCTGCCAACTTTAAAATTACTTTCAGTGCTACTTTGTAACTGTAAATTTGCTATTGTTACAAATTGTAATATAAATATCTGTGGTTTTTGATGGCTTTAGGTGACCCCTGTGAAGTTATTTGACCGCTAAACTCCAAAGGGGTCATGACCTACAGGTTGAGAACTGCTTAACAGTAGTTCAGATGGCCTAATGAGGAAAGTTGATAGGTAATAGATGCCATAGTATACATGGGCCTAGACTCTTTTCTTACTGCTGAGCTTCAACCCTAATTTATTACTTCTTTCTTTGAGGTTATTTTATTTTGTATATATGAATATTTTGCCCGAATGTGCATATGTGCACTGCATGCATGCCTGGTACCTTGGGGTTCAGAAGAGGGCATCAGATTTTCTGGGACTCGAGTTATAGTCACCATGTGGGTGCTGGGAACAGAACCCAGGTCCTCTGCAAGAACAACCAGGTCTTCTGCAAGAGCCACAGGTTCTCTGATCTGCTAAACTGTCTCTCTATCCCCTTCTCTAGGACCTTTATCATGAAGTCATGTTGGATTTTGTCAAAGGCTTTTTGTGTATCTGTTGAATTATCTTTAAGTTCATTTATGTGACTTATTACATTTATTGGCTTAATGTATGCTGAGCCATCCCTACATCTCTGGGATACAGCTAATTTGATGTCTTTGATATATACCTGTGTTTGGTTTGTAAACATTTTATTTATGATTTTAACATTAGTGTTTGTCAGGAATATTGGCTGGTAGTTTTCTTTTTGTGTGTGTGTTTGCTTGGTTTTGATATTAGAGTAATACTTTGTAGTCGTTTACCAATACTAGTTTTGATTGGCATAGCTGCCCTGTGTGTGTGTGTGTATGTGTGTGCACGACTCACTGTATGTATGTATATGAGTGTTTTGTATGTATGTAATGTGCACCAAAAGTGTGCCTGGTGCCCAAGGAGGTGTCAGATCCCCTGAACTGAGCCTCCATGGGTACTGGAACTGAGCCTAGGACTTCTCCAAAATCAGTAAGTTCTCTTATCTGTTGAACCACCTCTCTAGCCCCACCAATCATTCTTAAAGTCAGGCACATCAGTTCCTTCTCACAGAACTGGAGGCCTTGGTGGTCACTGTCCTCAGCCACAGTGGCTGATGGGAATTGTTGGCTTTCTGTTTCCTTTCTCTTGAAAAGAACTTGTCCTACTTTCCCTTCATAATATAAGTAAGTTATGATGCTTTCAGTTCAGTCATGGGATGTTTCCTATCTGCAGGACTTGCATGGTTGTTTCTTTGGTTTATCTGCCTATGTTTTCTGTGGACTTAGGCTTAACAGAGTTGATAAGCTAGATTTAAGGTTGGTGAAAATGTTTACCAATACCATGCTAAGTGGATTTTCATAAACTTATGCTATTTGTAACCTTTTTCTGTACTATGAAAGATGCCTTCTGCATCCTGTGATGTACTGCTGGATGACATAGAAGATATCATATCACAGGAAGATTCAAAGCCACAAGACAGACATTTCTCAAGAAAGCATGTGTTTCCTAAAGTACGAAGGCGGAATACTCAAAAACATTTGCAAGAAGAGCCCAGGCCACCAAGTGACAGGTAAGCATTCCTCAGGACTACATTCACTTCTATCCCAGGAAAGTCTGGCACTGTTGGCCCATACCATATGTGCAGTAGCTCCAGGTTAGGATCTTTGTATCTCTAATAGGAAACATAGAGGTTCAAATCTAATGGAATTGCTTCAAATCTGGCAAGTAATAGGTTAAAAAACTCAGAAATACCAAGGACATGGGGAGTGGAGATAAGAGAGGCTAGGGGAATGAATATGATCAAATTACATTGACGAGAATTTTCCAAGAATTAATTAAAAACAAAACAAAATACCAAATTAAATGTTCTTTGAAGGAAGGTGATAGGACACTAGGAATTGTTTTGATTTGACTATAGTTGGTATAAATCTGTTGTAATTGCAAATAAAACTTTTACTGAGATTTGTGATTCCTATTTGGCAGTGGTGTTTTGGACATGTGATCATTCTTAACATATTAGTGAGTGCTGAGTGATCACACAAAGGCATTGAGCACAAAAAAATCATTGTCCTGTTTATACTTTTGTAGTGGGATTTTTGAAAGTAAGACTCTAATATGACATTGCAGAAACGATTGCACAGTTGTACGGTTTTAGCTTTAATTATTTATCTAGTATGTTGTGGGCAGGTTTAATGTTTACTTTGTTTAGATTATTGAGCTTTTCAAGGCTGTGCATGTAGAATGTGTTTTAATTAGTGGAATTTGTCACATTTATTCCAAGCATGTCTTTCTTGTCATTTCTGTTTACTTTTAAATTGTTAGGGCAGTCTAAGAGGAGAGTTTTTTTGTCCTTCCTAAATAAATTCTTTAGAAACCTGTGGCTGGAGTTGCATTAATTATGAAGTTTTCACTTTTGGTTATTTTGAACCTGTAAATTTTAAATGGATAAAGATTGCAACTAATATTTATGAGTGTGAAAACAGGTCACCAGCCTTTGTTTTTATTCTTCTGTTTTCTGTGTTGTATATGTGTGTAAATGTTTATGTGAGTATACAGGTATGTGTGTGTGTGTGTGTGTGTGTGTGTGTGTATACACTACAGGCCAAATTAGGTATCTTCCTTGATTGCTTTTCACCTTATTTCTTGGGACAGGGACTGTCAACTGAAGCTGGAGCTGTTGATTCTGCTAGGCTGACTGGCTTATGTGTTCTAGTGATTCTTCTGTCTTCTCCCTTGACAAGCACTCAGGTTACAGATGCCTGCTGCTTCACCTGGCTTCTTTCTGGGTGTTGGGTGCTGGGTGTCGGGTATCCAGTACCCCAGGTTGTGTCCGCATACTTGTAGGGTACTACTTTAATGGCTTCAGCCCTTCTTCTTTGGGTGTTATTGCTGCAACTGCCATTTTCCGTGCAACCATGTGTATGTATCTTTCTAAAAGTTGCATCAGCCATTAATAGTATGGTTAGTAGGAATTAAAACTGCAATCCAGAGAGGAACTTTTTCTGAGGCAAGATCTCTTGTAGCTTGGTCCACAGATGACCCTAAATTTCCTGCTTCTCTTTCCTAAGTGCTGGGATTACAGGTGTGTGTTACCTTGCTTGAAAGGACATTTTTAAAATTTGTATTTAAAATGTTTGTAAAAAATTTATGTTTTATTTATGTATGATGTATGACTATGCATGAACACATGAGCTAAACCATCTGAGTGGGGGTCAGAAGGCAACTTGTAGGAATCAGTTCTCTAACATGTGGATCTTGGGGATGAACTCAAGTCATCAGGCTTGGATGCACACCTGTTAAGCCTTTTCACAGATTCAAAAGGACATTATTTATTTACTTTTAATTAAATTTTGTAAACATTGTTTTTCCTTTTTATTGAAAATAGATTTTTTAATATATTCTGATTATAATTTTTCCTTCCTTTCCTCCTCCCAGCTCCCCTCCCATCTAGATCCACCCTTTTCTGTCAGAAAACACACAGAATAAAATATAATGTATTAAGATAAAACAAAAAGTCACTGATCTTTGAATATAGCAGAATGTCATTAGGAGTCATTTTATTGCCACATTCTTTTAGTAGAACAGTAGTATTTTGTTTTACCCTAGTTTCTGGCCTATTCAGGTTCTTGGCCACCCATTGTCAGGGATGGGTCCATCTCCTGGAGTGGGTCATAAATCAGTCGGATGTTAGCTGCTTTGCCCTGCAGCCTTGTGCTACTGAAGCACTAGTGCAGTGGTTCTCAGCCTTCCTAGTGATACCTTTTAATACAGTTCCTTATGTTGTGGTGACCCTCAATTATAGAATTATTGCATTGCTACTTCATAACTGTAATTTTGCTATAGTTATGAATTATCATGTAAATATCCGATAAGTAGGGTATCTGATATGCAACCCCCAAAGGGGTCACGACCAGTGGGTTGAGAAGCACTGCACTAGTGCATCTGGTGTATAGGTCACCATTGTAGACAGAAGAGTTTGTAGCTGTGTTAGTATTTACCTTTCTCCTTTAGTCGTATGCAGAGTATATTCCAGTACTGTGAACATTTAGTCGGTAGGGGTGAAGGCTCTAGGTAGGCAACAGCTGGACTTCTCCATGCTCAGTGAGTTGTGTAGGTGTTGTCTTCAGCAATAGGGCCTTACCATAATAAGCTTATGGAGAGCAGTCTGTAGTACTGTAGTCTTGGCAACAGCCTGGGTTGTTTTGGGGTTCCTATGGCTAACTTTGGCTAACAACTCAATTAGAGGTAACCTATTACTAGTCCTGGCATTTGGTGACAACAGATGCAAAAGGAAATTGTTTACATACAGAGATTCTTCCTGTGATTCCATGGTTATTTTATCTAGATTTTAGTTTTAAAACATTTTACTTATTATTATTGTGTCTGTATGAATAATGTATTAAGTCTTAGGTAGAGTTTCTATTGCTGCGATGAAACACCATGACCAAAAAGCAAGCTGGGAGAAGAGGGTTTATTCAGCTTACACTTACTTCCAGAGCACTTTCATCATTGAAGGAAGTCAGGACAGGAATTCAAACAGGGCAGGATCATTTAGGCAGGAGCTGATGCAGAGAGGCCATGAAAAGATGCTGCTTACTGGCTTGCTCCCAGTGGCTTGCTCAGCCTGCTTTCTTATAGAACCCAGGATCACCATCCTAGGGATGGCACCACCCACAATCAGTTGATGACCCTCCCCCATCAGTTAATAGTTAGGAAATGCCTTACAGCTGGTTCTTGTAGAGGCGTTTTCTCATTTGAGATTTCCTCCTTTCAGATAACTGTAGCTTGTGTCAAGTAGACATTAGACTAACTAGCACAAAGTGTGACCGTGATCATCATGGTGAATGTGTGAGGTCCGAGAACAGCTCTGTGGAGTGGGTTCTCTCCTTCGTCTTTACATGCTTTCCAGGCATCAAGCTCAAGTGGCCAGGTTTATGCAGCATGTACTCACCGATCTAGCTCACTGAGTTTTGTTGTAACAGCAGATTTTAAATAATTTGATACATTCTGTAACTAGGTTGTGAATTGATTCTAGTTTGTTTTTTGTGTAATGTGCCCTAAATCATCTAGTGACTTTTATCTTAAAAATCACAGATACTCACTTTGTTTTAATTGATTACTTAACAGCACTATTCCAGGCATACAGAAAATTTGGATACGAACATGGGGCTGCTCACATAATAATTCGGATGGAGAATACATGGCTGGACAGCTTGCTGCCTATGGCTATAAAATTACAGGTAATGAGGTCCATAATGTGTTTTATTGATTACATTTCAGAGTTGCAGATTTTGGAGACAGGTAGTCTAGCCCCAGCAATTTAAGGGAATTTTAGAGTAATTTAATGATTTGAAGGTAGAACACTAATAGCTACTATATATTAGATAACTGGTCACATCTTCCTTGAATTTTATTGTATTTTTGTTTGTTTATATTACATGTTATTTGTGTGCATATATATGGGGGCACAGATGTGCAGTGGCACACATGTGGAGGTCAGGAGATCTGTGGGATCCTTGGGGCAGGCTCAATGACAGGTGCCTGTGCTCACCGAGCCATCTCAGCTGCCTGGTGACTTTAAAAGGACCTGTATTACAACCTTTTGTATTTTGAAGTGAAACTACAGGAATTTCATGTAAGGTCACAAGAGGGCATGAGAGCCTCTGAGTTTGGAGTTACAGACAGATGAGAGCTGCTATGACAGTATCTGGACCTAAACTTGGGTCCTCTGGAAGAGCACCATGGCCTTAAATGTTGAGACACATATGCAGTCCCATTTTTAGAAATTTTTATTTTGTTTTTTATATTACTTATTTTATGCATAGCAGTAAAATTTATACATTAAATAACATAGGAGAATGACTATATATATATACATATATTATTTATTTATTTTTGGCAGAGTTTCACTATGTAGCTATGTTGCTCTGTCTGGTCTGGGACTTGTTGTGTCAACTGGCTGGCCTTGGATTCACAGCATTGATCCTTCTGCCTCTCTTGGGATTAAGGCATATACCACCATGACCAGTCTAGCTTCATATTTACTGTGTGTATGTGCACTTATGTGGTTTGTGCTTACATTGGTTCTGGAGATCCAGACTGTTAGCTTGTGCAGGAAGTGCTTTATATCCTGAGACATCTCCATAGCCCTTCTTGTTTTCTAACACTGTGGAGTTCACTGAGTCTTTACCTCTGCTAACCATACCTTTGTCTTGAGCTATAATTCCCCAGATCTCTGTAGACCTCAAGTTTAGAGCTGAAACATAGTTTGCATGGTTTCTGGATTACCGATGTCAGGTGTTTTGATTATTATGGATTAATGGGATTTTATTAAAATTGTTAATTTAAATTTTTTTTTGTTAAGTATGGGCCTAAAATAACAATGAATATAACATAGGTATAAAATTTAGATTTCATGTACTGAATACAGAAATTATTGGAAAGAAGTCAAGATTTCTTAATAGCTACTTGTAGACATTTACTGTTTGGTGAAGAAACATGATTTGGGTTAAGATACTTGAAATTGCTGCTTGTAACACTGAGTCTCATACATGATTATTCTGCAGGAAAACTTTAAGATTTGGAGTGGTTGTCATTTATTTCTTTCTACCATTTTTCATTTTGAAGGAAAAGATTCATAATTTAAAAACATTGTTTTGAGAAAGGGATTCAGATTACCCAAGTAGTTGAGGCCGGCTTTGCATTTCTGCTCCTTTGTGTCGTTTTGTGCTGGGCCTCTAAGATTTAAGCAAGAATTATAGTCTTGCTTAAATCTTATCTTAGGCAATGCTTATTTCTAATGGATTCTTTCTTTCTCTTTTAATAATAGAGAAAATTAGGATCTACTGTAGTTAAAAACTTTTATAATTTATATTTTAGAAATACTTAGTCATGTCAGAATGTGGCATTTTATGTTTGATTTAAGGAAACTTTATTTGAAACTCGGTGTTGAGGTGACAGCACAGTAGACTGATTCAAGTGTATAGAGTACTTCTTTCTGGGCTTTGGCCACTCGGTGTGAAGTATCTTTAACTTTTGTGCCTGCGGTCAGTTTCATGTTGATTCCTGTATTGAAATTTTTGTATAAGAAATACATCCAAGGATCATATTACTGATTAGAAGATTATTAAAATGAAATTTTTAGCTTGTATTGATGTTGATTGAAGTAATGTTTGTTACATAAAGTTACTTAAAAACAGCAGCAACAGCAAATGTTGCCTGATTATCTCGGTTTCCTTTGCAGGCTGGTGGTGATGTCACTTCACATGAACATACCAACAAACTTACCTAGATAGTAAATTACATTAAGACTAACAGTAACTCCTAAGAGGATTACTGTTTTTTTTTTTTTTTAATATTGAAAAGAGACAGAAGCAAGTGGATCTCTGAGACCAGCGTGATCTACATAGTGAGTTCTAGGACAGTCAGGGCTGCATGGAGAGACCTTTTCTCAAACAAACCAAAACCAAAACCAAACCAAACAAAGAAAATGACACACACACACACACAAAAAAAACCAGATTGGTGGTGTGAAAATCTGTAAAAGCAGAAGACTTCAGCTGGTCCAGTATTTAGTGACATGAAAAACATGACACATGTTCCCTCTGCTTAGGCTAGTTCTCAGAGAGGAGTTTTGCACAGGTTTGTAGGAAGGGGAGCTGACCTGCTGAGAAGCTTAGTGCATGCAGGATGTTTCCATGTGACTTTGAAGAAACAAATGACTTTATAGGCATGGGGCTACCTCATGCTTTAGAATAAGATTGAGGCTGGAGAAGGAAGAGTAATGGAAACACGAAGACACAGGGAGATGGAAACTACTAGATAGTTTGCACTAGAGTCCACATTGAGATTTAGGCAGATCTGCACAGCCTTTATGTGTTTGCCTCATGCTGAGTGGTCTCTTTGAGTTGGTGTTTTAAGAGCCATTCAGTATGGAAATCTACTATTAATAATACCTTGTTTGTTGTCCAACATAAAAAATAATTCCCTCATAGGAATCTTATGTGTGGCTCTTATGAGAAGCATTTTAGTTTTGAGAGGGTAGGAGGGCTATTGGCACATTGTCAGTGTATTTCCCTGCAGAGTTGAGAACTGGAGTTCTTTCTTTTATTTTGGGTAGCCATGTCAACTGAGAGCGGCCTGGTCAATTTCTACCTCCTTAATTATAAACAGAGTCCATAGAAACTCTGTAGAAACACAAGAAGAAGAGCTTTGACTTTTGAATTCTTGATACTCTGTTGAAATTCAGTGCAAGTCTGTTGCAGGTGGATCTCTGAGTTTGAGGCCAGTCAGAGCTACATAGTGAGTCTTTGCTCAAAAACAAAACAAAACTAAGAAAGGGCAATTACTAAAAATGAAATTTAATGGAAAATATTATTCCCTTATCTTTGTATAGTCTGCTATCTCACTTTTCTCATATATCTCTTTGTTGTATCTTATCACCACGATCATTTACATTTGTATAGTATAGTGCACTGTATAAAATGCTCATTTTTTTCCGATGCTAATTTTATATAGCTTATAATTGAAGACAAAGACAAGACCTCATTAATCTAAGCTTTAAAAATATCTAAAATATTCTGACATTAAGTTTTTGACTTTTTAGGTTGTATGCATTAGTAATGAATATTTATAATGAGGTATTCAATTGTGTGTTGAGTAGTATATCTAACAAAAATACTTTTACTCAAGATTTCTCTGAGGAGATTTTATCTGTAGCCAAAGGTGATGCCTTGGTAAACTTGGAACTTTCCTGGAATTATAGTTCAAATTTGCACTCTGTGAACATAGTGTCCGTGTGCATTGTTTTGGTCTTACAGGTGAAAGGGATGAGGGAGTTGTATTCTTGGGTTTCTGGAATTGCTAGCCTGAGTCAGGAAACAGCATCTTATGGGCTAAGCAGGACATGTGTTAAAGACATTTATATTTAGGAGGGTAGATGGAAATGGGTGACAGGGCCAAAGGAGTGTTGGTTTAAGTTGTGGGAGATGAGCAGTGTTACCAAATACCACATACATCCCTCACCCCCTTTTTTGTGGAAAGTAAGTTTTTCTTGCTTTTAATTGAAAAGATTTAAAAAAAAAAACCCATGCATTCTGATTATGTTTTCTCCTTTCTTAACTCCTCTCAGATCTCCCCACTTCTTCATTCACTCAAATCCCACCCTTTCTCTCATTAGGATACAAACAGGCAATCAATCAATCAATCAATAATAAAAGCAAACGAACCAGACTAGGTCAAAACAAACAAACAAACAAGCAAACCAAACCAAGGAAAAGAGCCTAAGACAAAGCTCAAGAAACATATAAACTGCAGAGACATGTATCACACATAGAGATTCCATAAAAATACAAAATGGGAAATATATATATGCATGAAAGGACCTGTAAGTTTAAAAAAAAAAACAGCCCAGAAAAACCATGAGACAGAGAACCTCCAAAAATGCTATTAAATTTGTTTTATGTTAGCCATCTATTGCTAGGCGTGAGTGAGTCCTGGCCCTAAGAGTAGTTTGTATCCCCAGTGAGACTCCATTGGACCAAACATTTTTTCCTTTCTGAGCAGTTATCAGTTGGAGGTAGCTTCTGGGCTTGGGGACTGGCTTGTGTCTACTTCCCCTCTCACGGCTGGGACCCCATCTGGCTTAGACCTTTGCAGGACCTGTGAGTGCTGCCAGTGTCCATGAGTTCACATGTGCAGCTTACAGTGTTTAGAAGGCCTGCTTCCTTGGTGTTCTCCATCCTCTCTGGCTCTTACAATCTTCTTGCCTCTTCTTCCACAGGGTTCTCTGAGCCCTGAGGGGAGGGGATTAATGGAGACGCCACGTGTAGGGCTTAGTGTTCCAGGCTCTTATTCTATGCTTATTATCCAGTTGTGAGTCTCTTTTCTCTGCTGCTGGCTGAGCAAGATGCTGACCTATGAATGTCACGGAATGTCATTAAGTGTCATTTTATTGTTATTATTTGTTTTATTTATTGTTATTTTTCTTTAGCAGAACAGTAGTATTTGATTTTTCTCCTATGTCCCTGGTCTGTCTAGCCCCAAGTTCTTGGCCACATGAGCAGTATCAGAGATAGATTCCTCTCATGGAGTGGGACTCAGATCTAATCAGACATTACTTGGTTTGTCCTACAAGTCTCGTGCCATTATTGCATTAGCACATTTTGCATGTAGATCACCATTGTAGATCAAAGAATTTGTAGGTGAGTTTGTGTCTACCTTTCTTCTTTGGTAGTATGCA